CTGACCGTTGGTATATGAGATAAACAGGCCGCCAGAGCAATTAGTAGACGGGCCGTATTTGACCGAGAGCGAGTCTTACATACGAGTCCGAAAATTCTAGATAAGCATATCGAGGGAGAGTCAGTAACCTAGCTGGAGGTAGCTGAGATACCTCATTAACGAACAGATGACCCTAGTAAGAGAACTAGGAGTCAGTGATGAATAAAACGTAAAAACACCTAGAAAGATTAGTTATGAACCTGTGAATGATAAACTAGCTACTTACTGAGTAATCTAATTACTCATCAGAATTATTATAACTTTTCTTTCCAGATGTAGATGCTGCAGGTCAGCCGAGGACGAGACCAGTCATCAGAATTATTATAACTTTTCTTTCCAGATGTAGATGCTGCAGGTCAGCCGAGGACGAGACCAGCGGGCTAAATTATTATAACTTTTCTTTCCAGATGTAGATGCTGCAGGTCAGCCGAGGACGAGACCAGCGGGCTAGATTATTATAACTTTTCTTTCCAGATGTAGATGCTGCAGGTCAGCCGAGGACGAGACCAGCGGGCTAGGGACTACTGGGAATCCATGTCTGGGTCTGTTCTGTAATTATGTTTCCGTTGTCAAGAATTTACCTTAGTCGTTTTAAGTTTTTTTGTCTGGGTCTGTTCTGTAATTATGTTTCCGTTGTCAAGAATTTACCTTAGTCGTTTTAAGTTTTTTTTGTAAAGTACTGTTTTTTTTCTTTTATAGAAATACTTTACTGGATGTTTTCAGAAATATTTTTAATTTTATGATTGGGTATCAGAGTCTCTTAATATTGTCGATAGTAACTCCTGTTAATCGCGTTGGCGATGAGCGGGNCCTAGCTGGAGGTAGCTGAGATACCTCATTAACGAACAGATGACCCTAGTAAGAGAACTAGGAGTCAGTGATGAATAAAACGTAAAAACACCTAGAAAGATTAGTTATGAACCTGTGAATGATAAACTAGCTACTTACTGAGTAATCTAATTACTCATCAGAATTATTATAACTTTTCTTTCCAGATGTAGATGCTGCAGGTCAGCCGAGGACGAGACCAGCGGGCTAGGGACTACTGGGAATCCATGTCTGGGTCTGTTCTGTAATTATGTTTCCGTTGTCAAGAATTTACCTTAGTCGTTTTAAGTTTTTTTTGTAAAGTACTGTTTTTTTTCTTTTATAGAAATACTTTACTGGATGTTTTCAGAAATATTTTTAATTTTATGATTGGGTATCAGAGTCTCTTAATATTGTCGATAGTAACTCCTGTTAATCGCGTTGGCGATGAGCGGGCGTTACAAAAATACTAATATTTATGAAATTTGAAAGTCTTCTATTACAAAAAAAAAAAAAAAATTATTATCGTAAATATATGGAAAAAAACCTATAAGCTTATAGATTATTTTTAAAAATTTTAATGTTATTTTTTTTAATTTATAACTATTTTTGAAACGTTGATACTAATATTTAATTTTTAATTTTTTTTACGGAAAACTTTTGAAACTTAATTTTTAAAGTTACTTTTCAAAGTTTAAAAATATTTATAAAATAAAATATTAAAAAAAAATATAAATATTTAATTTTATTTAATTGGTTAAAGCAAAAAAAGAATATGATGGTAGCATATTAAGTTGTAAACACCCTGGCGCTAAGTTAACTTCAATCTCATATTTCTGGTTTGGTTTGAACCGGAGCCCGAACCATAAACATCATCTCACCGGCGGGATTCTTTTTCTGTGTGTGAATTTGATGGAAATCGCCGGCAACCGGAGCCACAGCTCTCATCCAAAGCGGAAGCGCGACGACATAGCCACCAATGGAGCTGACCATATCGACTTGGCTCTCCTCGAAGCCGTCGAGAAGTCCCAAAAGGTAGTCGAAGTATTGGACCTTCGAACAGTGAAGAAGCTCTCTCTCTCGTTCGAACGCCGTCTCAGAGACAACACCGAAGCTCGCCTCAAGTATCCTGACCAGCCTGAGCGCTTTGCTGATTCTGAAGTCGAGCTCCACGACGAGATTCAGAAGCTCAAAGTGCTCGCCGCCGGTCCCGAGCTATACCCTGATATCGTCAAACTTGGTGTAGTTTCGTCCGTTGTTGACCTCCTTTCGCATAGTAACACTGATATTGCTATTGATGCGGTCCAATTGATCCAGGATTTGACTGACGAGGATGTTCTTGAGGATAACGATGAACCTGCTCGCGTGTTGGTCGATGCGCTGATTGAGAATAATGTTCTTGATCTGTTGGTTCAGAACTTGCATCGATTATCGGAGACGGACCCGGACGAGATGAGTGCCGTTTACAATACCCTAGCGACCATTGAGAACTTGATTGAAGTGAAACCGGTAGTTGCCGAGTTGGTCTGTGAGCGCACAAAACTAATGAAGTGGTTACTTGGGAAGATTAAGGTGAGGGATTTTGATAGCAATAAGCAGTATGCATCGGAGATACTGGCGATACTTTTGCAGAACAGTACGGTGAATCAGCGAAGGCTTGGACAGATGAATGGGGTCGATGTTGTTCTTCAAGCGGTTGCAATGTACAAGTCCAAGGACCCCAAGAGCCCTGATGAGGCTGAGATGGTGGAAAATTTGTTTGATTCTTTGTGTTGTTTGTTGATGCCACTGGAGAACAAGGAAAGGTTTGTGAAAGCTGAGGGTGTGGAATTGATGATAATTATTATGAAACAGAAGAAATCCGCCTATGGGTCAGCTATAAGGGCTCTTGATTTTGCCATGACAAATTACCCGCCTGCTTGTGAACGATTTGTTGATGTTTTGGGGTTAAAGACGGCCTTTGCTGCCTTTATGGGTAAGGTAGGGTAAATTACATAACTTCCTCTAGTCCTTGCATTTTGTTGTTTTGCTTATTTTCTATTATTGAATGTAGTTTAGAGTTGAATTGTGGCATTCAAAGAGTAGCACAGAATGATTCTAAAGTAAAAGTTTGCATGTGTGATAATCAATTATGATTCTGGGATCATATGGAAACATAAATCTGATTGGAAAGCGGGGGTCCATGGTACAATCTTATATTTATTTTGTTAATTTATCTGTTCGTTTGCCAAAAGCTTTCGCACTTCTGAACACATATAGAGAGAGACATTCTTATCAAAAAGAGATTTGAATTCTCTCTTGGATGGCATCTTGTTTCTTAAAATACAACTGGAAAAGGCTTATGATATGTGAATGAACTAGAGAATGTCCTGAATTTCTCTGGTTCTTAGCGAGGATGGTAGTGTTTATTGGTTGTGATGCGGAAAATAAGTCTTTTTTCATTGGTTTAATTAACAATTCAGGCTGCATTATGATTAAATTGGAGGAAAAGAAAGACGTTTCTTATTATTCCATTTCTTCTCTTTACAATCTTTTAAACGCTCTTAATTCCGTTTCAATGGCATCAGTTTCACTGGTTGGAACAATCATTGGTTGAGCTCCTACCAAGCCCTTTGAATCATAAGTTTTTCAAGAAAAAGCACAGATATAAGGGGGAGTTGTGGAAGGTTTCTTGGTTTAGTTTCTCTTATGGGCCTAACTGGCTAAGGCTTTTTGTAATTATCGAATGGATTTCTTGATTTTAGATTGAAGTGTTCTTTCTTGTCTTTCTTTGGACTTCTTTTTTGTGTGGGGCTGTTTTTTTTATACCTGTGTATTTTCTTTCATTTCTCTTGATTAAAGCTCAATTTCTTATTAAAAAAACAATGCACTTTTCCAACGTAGCTGTCTTACTATGGAATTACGTTTTGATATAAATGTGAAATTGATGTCTAAATCTTTCGTTAATACATTTTTCTGTGAAATTGTTCCAAAATTTGACTTTCTAATCACTTATTCGATGATGCTTACTTCACATGCTTTAAACTTTGTAGATCCCTTTGAATAAGAAAAACAAGAAAGAGCGTTATCAAGAGGAGTTGGAAGAACGTATCGTGTCTCTTATTGCATCATTATTTGGTAAGCAGGCAAGTGATATTGTACATATGTTCTTTACCATCTGTGTTTATTTAACAAATTTTGCTCCTTTCTGGCTGCTGTGAAGATATTCCTTCAACTTATATGATAATCTTTCCAACTTTTAGTATTGGATATGGACACCATTGAGTTTGGGGTTGAAAAGGTTGGTTGTATCGTATTCCTTAGCATTGAGTTTGAAGTTATTATTGTATGAGAGATGGAGAGATGGTCTGATACTGGAGTGTTGAACTTGAACTGATTTAGAATGACAATAATTTGACAACTTGGCTTTCTGCAATACCTTGGATACTTCACTTTGTTAAAGAATTTTCTAGAGCAAAACAGTGGTTGCAGCCTTTTGTTCCTTTTGCCTTGAAAATAGTTTGGTCAGCTTGATAGGCCTGCCTTATGTTTAAATGAATACTGATACTAAATCTTTCAAGGGGTAAAGGAAAAGAAAATCCTGGTCTGGCAGTAGAAGTGCAAAAAAGCACAAGTCTTTTTAATACTGCTCAAATCATGTAAATAGTGTTGGAGAAACAATTGGCTCAATGAAATTGTACGGTGTATTCACTGTGGTTTTATATTTACAGTGCTTAAAAATATGGTTGACATCGTTTTTTTTATGTTTCAAGTGCTGTTACATTTTTAAGCTCTTTACTTATTAGACGCTCATCTCTTAACGCAATGATATGTTTCTGTTATGAGAGTTGGTCGTTGTATTCCAATTTGCATTTTATTGCAATCGTTGGTCACAAGCACGTGGAAATACCCAGCTTTCTTTATTTTTTTAATCTATGCTTTCTCCTATTCTTAGTTTCAACTAATGTTCCTTGCCCTTACCAGGTGGTATTTTGAGGGGTACCAGAAAGGAAAGGTTGTTGAGTAAATTTGTTGAAAATGAGTGTGAAAAGATAGATCGGCTGATGGAACTCTACTTAAGGTGGGTTCATGTTCACTTCTATTTCTTTGCACTCCTATCGTTCAGAGATGAAGTCCTCTATTTATTTATTTCCTCGAATAAATAATATTCTGGCATGATAAATGATAGTTTTATTTTTATAGATATTCTGATAGAGTTAAAGTGGAGATGGAGCGGCTAAGCGAGATTGAACTCGATGATTTAGAGGTTCCATGTGATATATATTTAATTTCATACATTTTAGTAATTAGTTTATGCTCTAATATGCACCCAAAATTGCAGATGGATGAAGAGGAAAAGTACAACCGCAAATTAGAGTCTGGACTTTATACCCTTCAGGTTTGTCTTCGTGATTAATGTTTCATTACTTTCAAAGCTTGTTACTCAATGGACTTTGATGATTGGTGCATACGTTAATGTTGGGTTGTTGTAACAAGAGATAGTTAATCTCTCAGTCCCTGTGGATCATTGATATGAGTTGTTTCACTCGATATTGTGTTGTATAAGCTGGGGATTAACTCCTTCAGAAGCTTTTATGTTCATCAAATGCTATGACAGCTTGTTCTGTAAAATAGTATTTAAATACAATTGATAAGAATTTTGATTAAGTAGCTTGTATTATTTCGATTTTGGAGCAACTATTTATGGAACTATGATTTTAAAAGGAGCAACTTCATTTATCCTCAAGTTACCCTTGAAAATAATGCAAGAGGAAATACGGACAAATAACTTTTGTCTGAGATCTTCTCCATGATACATTTTTTTAAGAACATCCAGACAGTTCTATATCTTACACTTAAACCGGCATTATCCTTGGGTCCAATGTTTCATAAAATTGACTTATTAAACTTTGTTTTATTATTTTATTTATTTATTGATAACCGGGAGTTGGAGCTTTTCTCCCCTATATCTGGGGGCATCTGCGCCCAAAAGGCCTGAACCCGTAGACATCAGAATTTTTTGGTATGAAGGTTTAAACTTGAGACCTCTAAATCAATATGACCAAGAGACCCCAAACCCTTGGGGGATAAACTTTCTTTTAATTTGATTTCCTAGAATTTAGAAATGTCAACCTTTCTTCCTTCCGTGCAAGTTTTACAGTTAAGGCTTGAGGGCATCTTATCCTACTGCTTGATAGTTTTTATCTTTGTTGATCAAAGTTTTATTAACAAAAAAACAAATAGACACATGAATTCCTTTGAGGAGATGAAGCAAAGTTTATCGAGGGATGTCATTCATATTTCAGCATTAGATGAAGTATATAGTCTTTGCTGGAAAATCTTTTTATGTTCTTTATTGCAGGAAAATCTTTTTATGTTCTTTATAGTGTTTTATTATCTATTAAAGTTTTTATTGATAAAAAATGAAAATAGTCTAGCATAAATTTTGTGCGCATCAGATTGGAGGCACATTTTGAAATTCACTTAAAGGTGGGATTTATGAGTAGCTTAAAAGGTTCCAATGTTTGAAAATTTGAGATTCTTTACGTTGTTAATTATTTTCAATTCTCAATAGGGGTATTAACATCAATCCTTGTTCTTGCAGTTGATTGCTGTTATTTTGGGACATCTATGGTGCTCCGAGTAAGTGTTGCATCAAACTACATTCATGATGTTCTCATTTATGTTTCTTTTTCTTTTCTTTTTTTCCTTAAGAAAAAAATTGAAATTTATTGAACAATGGGTTCTTGTTTTCAATTCTCTCTTTTTCATGAGAAAATAAAAAATATATATTTGGCAATTATTTGCCTTATTTTCTAAAATTTCAATTTAAGAAAGTGAAAGATTTACTTTTAAAAAAAGTATTTGAAAGTATTATATTCAAATTTATTATATCATTTTGATTTTTAGAAATATTATTATACTGTTATTACCAAGTTGGAAAGAAGAAACCAAAAGAATTAGAGGTGGGAGAACAAGAAATGGTTACCAAACATAAATGCAATGAGAAATGAGAACATAACCTAATGATCTCTTTGAGATTATGTTTCATTTGATTGTTTCTCTTGTAGACACTCTCAAATGAGAGCAAGAATTGAATTATTGCTCAAGCAACAAAAACTTACTAGGCAGGACATCAAGAACATTCTTCAGGTCTGCCTCTCACTTGACCTTTTTTTTCTCCAATTTATATACATTTAATTTTTGTTTTAAGTCTTGGATGAGAAGTATGATGTTTAAGCAACCATACGGTAGTAAGTTAGGACCTTTCTGGCATACTTTTTGGATACTAATTATGTTTTCAGAGTCACAGAGTCAAGTGGATTTAACAAATATCTATTTGACAGATCTGTTTGCATTTTGTGTTTTCACATAGTGGAAATTCTTTAAACAACCTTTTTATGTTATTGGTATTTTCCATAACTACCCTTATTTACATGGTTTATAAATATAATATCAGACATATTTTGAGTAACTTCTGAAATTGGGATCCAATTTATATATATGTTACCAAACACACATTTGAAAACACTGAAAACATACCGTTCAATTATGTATTTCACTGAATCCTTCTTTATTTAATAAATCCTTTGTTTTCCAATTGTTCTTTTTAGATTACTAGTTGAATACACCCTTATAAACCCACTTATTTCGTCTTTTTGGTCTCTATAGAAGTGACTCCTCATGATCTAGGTGTTCTTTATGTTGCATTTCTTGCCTTATCTCTTGTTCTACACAACTTTTTATTCGTTCCATTCAAAGAGAAATATTAGTCCAATAAATCCCGTATATTGATTACAGAGCTGCCTTTTGAATTATTATATTTATTTTTGTTTCATAAGAAATTAATAATTTCATTGAAATTATGTAGTAAAGGCAAGCTCAAACCAAGATATTATAAAAGGACCTAATTGAATACAAAGGAGGAAATGGTATTATAATGGAAATGTTGAGAGAGAGGACCAAGTGGAAGAAAGATTTACAAAATCATTCCAAAATTTCTTTGAAGATCTTCCAATCTCTTCTAAAAATTTTCGCTCTGTTTTGATAGTCCAAATGGTCCAAAGCATAGTCCTTATCTCTCCAAATCCACAATTTACTAGTAAGATCCCTTCCCATTCCCTACTAAGCCACTCCTTCCTGGAGTTCCTCATGTCCTCTAGTTACTTTCCTAGATTCTCCTTCCTTTCCTTTACCTCACACATGTGCATCTATCCATTTTTCGATTCTTCTCTCATAAATTGTGTGTTTGGAGGCTTATAAATACTTTGTTCCCATAGAGCCAACTTGTCCTCCAAGTGGAAGCCAAGAAATTACAAAGCCATGCAACGTTGCGAGAACGAACTATTCTTTTGTTTTTTACTGAAGGTGGAAGTTGAGAAATTGTTGAGCTGATTGGTCTACTGACTCTAAAGGGGCCTTCTTGGTTGACATGCCCTTCCGCTAGGTTAAGGACCTTCAAAGCCTTACAACAATATTTTTAACAACAAACACTCAAAGTCATCACTGGTTTGATCTATAGCAGCTCAAAATTGAGATTGCGAGGAAGTGGCAACATAGAGTTATTGTGGCCACAACTTGTTGAAGTTGAAATGCACGAAAGACTTGATTTGCCCACTTTTTAGTGGACCTCCTTACGTTTGGAATTGCTGTACCAATCCAACTTTTTTCAGCCCAACGAATGCCTTGTCTGAGAACATATGGTCTCTATCCAAAAGATGTTGATCAACCTTTTAAATTGCCAATGAGGCTTGTAAGGAAGGAAAATGGATGGGTAGGGGCTTTTAGAGGGTTAAACCAGCTTGTCCGTTAGTTTTGTAGTCAGCTCTTGATTAATGGAAAACTCGTAGGTACTCCTGCCCCTTGCAGAACCAGAAAGTGATCTTTAATTACCGTCAACTCTAAACAAGCCTCAATTTTCCCGTTGATGACTTCCATATCTACACAACTACATTTCCACAAGCTGACAGCTTCGACATGCTGAGTTCTGTGACTTCTGGGATAAGGAATTCAAAGCCCCATTAAAATTTGTTTGCTTGTACTAAATATCAAAATCATATCATATAGGGTGCTGGAATTGCCCACCAATTAGTCACTATTCTAAAAGAAATTTCAAATAGGCTTTCACTTTTTAACCCCTATAGGCTATAAGTTAGCCAATACCTTTATCGTAGATGGCCTTTTATTTACTTCTGAAACGTAAGACCGGACTGAAATGAGGCAGGGTCCTTGCATAAGGGCATCTCCACAATAAATGGTAGGCCATGACAGAATCGAAACCTTAGTTTATTCTTGAACTTTACTTTTCTCATTAAGAAGAAGAGAAGAGCTTCGATGATTAATGACTAGACTTAAGCCAGACAAGTTCTTACCCCTCGAGGAGTTTGAGATGTTCGAAAATATCCTCCAAAGTCTTGGATTCCAGTCTCTGATTAAAAACTTAGAACTCTTTCTAAAGCTGCTATTGGAGTGGGTGAACCCTTCTCAAGATTAGTAAAAGAGGAGGGCATGAGCATAATGTAAAGAGTGGACTTCTTGGTACATCAAGTAGAATAGTTTTTACAAACGAAGCAATGGCAGATAATTTAAGGAATAAAAATGGTTGATTGTTCAAACTTGATTTCAAAAAGAAGATTTTTGTTTGTCTCATGGTAGCGTGCTCCATTCCCTTACGAAACTTTTGTTATTGGGTTAGCCATACACTTCAAAATGTTTTTAGCAGTTCACATGGCATCATCAAATGATACAAGTCTTGGATAAGAATCTGCACTAGAACGCCGTTGTTGACGATCCTTTACTCCGACAGCATCTAGGATTCTTCGAACAATGTGATATCTCACACCGGATAAATCCTTAACTCTTCCCCCTCTTACTAAGACTACCAGCTCCACGGACTCTCATGCACCCATCGTCTTGCTACGCCTACGTTGGAGTCTTTGTTTGGGAAACTTTAGGCCCCCATTATCTTCTTAGGAACAAATCTGTGGGTGGCTGTGTAATCACTTTTCACAGATTCATAAAGAAATTCAATTCTATATAGAATAATGTTCTTCACGTGCTTAGTAGTGAAGTGCCTGCTATATTATTTTGTCCGGAGTTTTGTTATTCTTTCAACAAGAATATGTTCTCTTTCAAATACTCTAAATTAATCAATTCAATTCGTTTCGTTCTGTGAATCAAAGGAGTATCACAACAATATCGGAGATCTCGATGGACCAGAAGAGAAAGAGCGAACGCAGGGGAAAATTCAGAAGTTCATCTCAGCTCTTTGATGGTTCACTTACCCTTCTTTTCTTTGTTTAGCTAGTTTTTAGGACACTGTATTTGCATACGAAAACTTTTCTCTCGTTTTAAAAGTCTTTAATAGATCTATAAACTTTTAATTTTACGTACGATAGGTTTTGAGCTTTTTTGTAGTCTTTATGAAAGTTTCTTATTGATCTCTAAACTTTTAGATTTATGTATAATAGAGTTTTAAAATTCCAATGATTCGGTGACAGGCTGCTTCCAAATTCATAAAACGACCTAAATTTATATTTTATATGTACTAAAAAAAAATTGTGAATTTTAAAAATTTACTATTAAAGTTTGAAGGGAAAATAATAGTAATAATAATAATAATAAATAAATGATGAATCAACGTTTTTTAAGGAAAAATTTTGTTTGTCTGTTAATAATGCTTTTTCCTCGGAACTAATTATTTTAGTAATTATGGAATTCTATCATAAAATATTAAATGCCATTAAATAAATAAATAAATAAAACAAATCACAAGTTATTCCCTTTGGTGGAGCCTCCTGGTTTAAAGAAGGGTTTATTTTGTACCTAACTCTTTGTCTTCGCATTTAATGTTTTTGCACTTAACAAAAATAATCTAACATACTAAAAAAAAAGAACTACATAAATGAAAATTTATATAACACCAAAATCATTTGATTGTTTATATATATATATATATAGTTGGTAGAGTATATGTGTGTTTTTTGTATACTATGTAATTAAAACTTAAATTTTCAGCATTTTATATGAAAAGAATAATGAGTGAAATTATATAAACAAAAAAAAAATGTAAAAATTGAACAGAGTAATTAAAATGCCTAATGAAAGACGAATGAAATGATTCTTAAAAACTTAATACAGTAAAATTTGAATAATATTTATTTTATGATGTCATATAAAAGACCTATAAATAATTTTAATAAATAGATTTTTTTTTTTTTAAATTTAGAAACAAAAATAAGCACACTTTGCATTTAATTCTCTCACACTCTATTAAAGATGTTTCTTTCACACCCAACTTAAAATGTGCCTCTCTTTCTCATGCACACACTCCAATTTATATCTTACACTTCACAACTAAAGTGGACAATTTCGCCCCTTCTCCCATGCTGAGTTATAGGCCGTGCCTCCAAACGCACGGACGAGTCACATGCAGGAAAATTTGCACATGTAATTCTAGCCAGGGTCCTCAATATGCTGTAATAATATGTGTAACCCAATTCACCAGGTTCTACTACAGCAGGGCCCATTCATACTCAAAATCTAAATTTGATCCTGACTCAGAAGGAATGTTAGCTATATGCTTAATACATGAAAGTTAAACGTTGTTTAATAAAAATCTGCGCCAGCACCCTGAATGCATAGAGAGAGAGTCAAGGGAGCGTCCACAGCTAATTCTATAACCGTAGGCAGCTCAAAACTGTTATAATAAAAGAATGTGGTTTTTTTTTTTAATACCAATTGGGCCTTCCCCGACATCCCGAACGAAGAAAGATTTCTCATAAACTAGATTGAGAACGAGAATTTATTCATTAAGGATGAAGAAAGATTTCTCATAAATATTTTTTTTATATATTCCATTTGATTTCGGCTTATAATATTTTGGCTAGACGTATAGTGTGTGAAATTAGTTCAATGTAAAATTGGTTTAAAGAACTATATAATTTCTTATAAATATTATTACTTTTGAGATTTATGCTATAATATTAAAACACTAAAATAAATAGAAAATTTGATGAAAATAAATAAATAAAAAGGTGAAATAGAAAGTTAAATATTTTTATGGACAGGTAATAAAGCGAGAGAGAGAGTGGAAAATAATTTAAAAAAATAGAGGGAAAAAGGCTATTAAATAAAAAATAACAGCCAAAATATATATTTAGAGAGAGAGAGAGAGAGAGTTGGTATTCAACTCAAGTAACGGCTCTAATTGTCAGAGATTTTTGCCTTCTTCTTCCTTTGCCTCTCTGTAACTCAAATTTCGAATTTTTTTCTCCACTTTCTCTCTCCTCTTTCTCTCTCTTCATTAAATATAAAAGTTGCAGAATTTTGAAAATGCTTCTTGAACAGAGCGCCACCCGTTAACCCTCTTTTCTTGTCTCTCTGTCTCTCCTCACTAAACCCATTTTCAAATCTCTCTCTATAGCTGAGTTTCTTCCATATCCCCAACTCTTTGGAGGATTTCTAGAGTTTAGTCTACTAAAAACTGCCATAGATCCTCTCTAATGGGTGCTTGTTTGAGCAAAAAGAAGAAGACTTTACCTTCTGCTGTTTCTTCTACTGATGTACCTCCTCCAGATCCCAGCTCCTGCAATGGCGGCAAACCCATCATCTCAATTTCTCAGCTGCCCACCACTGACCTGAAAATTAAGAGCAGCAAGAAAACAGGGCAAGAAAATGGTGAGGGGAAAGAAGAAAGAAGTGAGTACCCTGTGAAGAAGAAGGAGGTTTTTGTGATTAAGCACAGGAAGAGTCACGATGGAAGAGACAAAAATGGGGCTTCTCTTCTTCTTGTTCCTCCTCCTGAAGAGGGTAATGTGTCTTCTTCTTCCTGTGAGATTTTGGAGTCTGGAGCTTTGGGTGAAAATTTGAAGGTTGGTTTGGTGAGAACTTCGAGCTGTACTAAAGAGGAAGTTGATGCCATTTTGATTCAGTGTGGAAGATTGAGTCGGAGTTCATCTGCTAAAGGGAATGGAAGAAGGTACTCTGGTTCTAAGAGAAGCAATGATTTTGATCATTGTGGCAGAGATGGTGTTGATTCTGCCAATTTTGGTGATGAAGATGAAGATGGGAAGAATCCCTTTTCTGTTGAGGTTGACGACGTTGGAACTCCGGCGGAGAAACGCCACCATCTAAGGCAGGGCCACCGCCAGTCTTCTAGACACTCTTCCTCTCAAGGGAGGAGGAGAACCCCAAGTAGGGAGAGAGATCAAAACCAACGGTCCAGCAGCCGAGAGAGGCGTGTTAGCCGGTCACCTGGCCGACGGTCAGCAGAGCCCTCTGCAATGAATACTTCCAATGCCAATGCCAATAACGGCGGTGGCGGTGGTCTCAGTCGACCAGCAAAAATGGTTTCGGTCCCTGCAACAGTCTGTCACATGGAAATGGACAAGAGCAACAATGTCACTGGTGGTTATGGAGACAATGATTCGGCGACGGTGACTGCTGTTAAGAGGATATCAGTTAAAAGAAACGTCGGCGAGGCGACTGCCATGGCGGGTTCAAGGGTTGCTTCATCACCTCGCTCACAGTCTCCTGCAAGAAACATTGAACATGTTAAAGCCGCCGACGAAAACCAGCAGCAGCAGCAGCCATCTCTCAGCCGCAGCTCATCAAGAAAAGCAGAGCAATCTCCATACAGAAGAAACCCATTGAGTGAAATTGATACAAATTCACAGCCACATAAAAGGATAAACAACAGAAGCAAAAGGGAAACGGAAGAACTGAATGCTAAGGACTCCATTAATGGTGTCTACCAGGTACATTTGAAAACTACACACACCCTATTCTTTCATGACTTTAAGTGTCCAGCAAGTCTTTTAATATTGATTCATACCTTGCAATCTTTTGTCACAGAAGCCAAAAACTGATTCCAAAAGTTGTCACAAAGTAACAGTTTCCCAAGTGAATAGCAACAAATCAGGCAGCGCAGCTACCAGAGCTGTTGTGAATATTATAGCCCCCACAACACCATTGTCAAACACAGAGGTGGTCGTGGTAGAGCATCAGAAACCCCAGGGACTGGCAAGGAGCAGATCTGCAAGGCAATCAAGAGAATTAGATATTAATCCAGAAGCTTTGCTGAATCAAAGTCAAACACCATCTTACACCAAGATGTTGCTTCAAGACATTCAGAATTTCCATCAAAAGAATGCCAACCCTGTTTCTCTTCCAGCTTGTGTAACCAAGGCCTGTTCCATTGTTGAAGCAGTTGCTGATCTCAATTCCGCAACAGGTTCGAATTTCTCCTGTGTTTTCTCTGAGGATAGAAGCAATCCACCAACATATCAATCCAGTAGAAATGAGCATAGCGTACCTTACAGTGGCAATCTGAAGGGCATGGTTGATATCAGAGACCCTTTTGTTGAATCAGAAGTTGCCATGAATGACGATATTCTGGAACCGAGCTTTCACAAGTACACGACTGTGAGAAGGGGCGGCGGCCCTGTCGTTCCTGCTGGAGGGGGAGATACAGATGATCAGGAATCCTCTGGTAGCAGCAGTTTTGTGGGCAGTGTTCAACAGCACCATTGGGGCATTTCAACTGACTCCTGGACATCAAGACAGAACACCAAAGAGGAAGGCCAGCCACATCCTGGCTCAGGGAGTAGTCTGCAATCAAAGCCAGGGCTCACTGGAGATGATAACAGGCGGAGAACAGCCGAAAGGAGGGAATCTAATTCCCAAAGAACTGGGATTGGCCGTGGTAGACTCGGTGGCGGTACCGGTAAAGTTCTTCATACAATTCCCGTTGCAGCCACTGGCTCCACCTGATTAGAATTGTATAGATCTCTCACCTCGGCCATTTGCCTGTTTCTTCTTGTGTTGTCTTTTTCCATTCCTCGGCGCCTTCTGCATTTTTATTCAGTTGCAAACTTGCAACAATTTCTCCTGTTCCTGAATTCTTCCACTCAATATTAGCAGCGCAAATTATTTCAGTAAATGTGTGTTCTTTCCTTCCACTAGGTTCTTGTTAATATATGAACCATAAACTGAATTATATCAAGGTTATGAAGCAAGAACATATATAATTACAGGAAGTTTATATTACAAATGCCATAAATACATAATTTGAATACAAGCTTACGAACGGGCTTCGTCCAACGACGAATGGCCACTAAAATTACAAATGCTACAAATGATCTTTCCCTAATAGTTCAAAACTCGCAAGAGATTTGCGAGACGAGGGCTCCTGACAGGCAGCTTAGCAGATGTCCATAATCATGCATCATTGCTAAGTGCGTTTGCACGCACAAGATTGATCTGTCTACCGCACATGTACTATCAGATTGCGGCACAAGAAAGTATTGCATCAAGTATATCCTATCGTGGAAATTTCTTCTAAATTTAGTAATATGTAAACTGGCCTTTCATGTCCAATAATGAATGGCAACCTTTGTTTTGAATGTTGAAAGCGTGAACAGATCTTGTGAGCTCATTCCAAACTACTGCCATAGTTGACCAC